TGTTTTTTTTTTTCTCGAACGATTGATTACGACATACAACAACACAAAGTTCAACCTACTATAAATCTAAATTCTATGCAAATGCACTTACATGCACTTTCCCATCGAAACTGACCTTTTATCTCATTTTTCTTAATCAAGATTTATCGAGATTTGTTTTATTTTATTTTTTTTTGTTCCTAAGAGAATGAAAGAAAGAGAGAACAATTTCTCGAGAAATATTTCAAGAAAATATCAAAAAAAAAAAGGTATAAATAGATGAATTGAATGAACATTTTCATTTGTCGATTGATAAACTTTGAATTCATCGTAGTAAAACGTTTCTTCACCTGCATAAAGCAAATGAGTCAGCAGACTCGTTGCAATGGATAGGACAGTTCACTCGAAATATACTTGTTAGGGTTTAAATCAAAGTAAATGTGATAAGGAAATAGTGGATATGCGTAACCACAAAAAGAGAAAGAGAGAGAGAGAGAGAGAAAGAGAGAATACATTACATCCCATGGGAAAGGGAAACGAGTAAATAGGTAAAAGATATATATATATATATATATATATATATATATATATATATACGATGTACCTAGGAAAAGTAGAGAACAAAATTTGGTACTTACTGGCAGAGGAAGAAGAAGAAGAAGAAGAAGGAGTAGAAGTAGAAGTAGAAGAAGTAGAAGAAGAAGAAGAAGAAGAAGAAGAAGTAAAAGAAAGTATTCCAATGACACGGAATACAAAAAGAATAGGAAAAATAGATTGTCATTCACTTTACACTAGGATTCACCACGTAAATGCTATTATCCACTGACACACAGTTCGTATCAAATATAAAGAAAGATAAAAGAAAATAATAAAGTAGAAAGAAATAGAGAAAAATAAAAATAAAGAGAGAGAGAGAGAAAGAGATAGAGAAAGAGATAGATAGAAAGAAAGAAAGAAAAAAACGAAAAGGTGAGATCGACTTATCGAGGTGCTACGGTTTCGTGTTATCACTTATTTAAAGGAAACGAAATACAGTTTTAGAAATAGACAATGGCAGATAGAAAAGAAAAATAATGTTTCCTACTTGTTGTTGTTGTTTTTTTTTTTCGAAAAATTTTATTTGTCTACGTCAAAATAATAAGTAAAAATAAAAATTTATTTAAAAAAAAAAAACTAAGAATAAGAAGAAGAATCAAAATGACGATTGTTATGACAATAATGACGATTGTTAAGTATAATAAGAATGATTTTGATAATTGGTGAAATAAAAGGATGATGTAAAGAGGATAATAGAGGAAGAAGGAGGATTGGTGATGGAGGATCGATAATAAACGATCGATAATCGATGCATGTAAGTCACTAAATTTAGTTAAAAGGAATAATCGACAATTATGAGAAAAGATTGATGGACAACCGCGTGGCAGGCAGCGTCGCGACGCACTGCTGCTTCGCGGCTACCAACCACCACCACCCCACCACCATTCGATCCTCTTACTCTCTCTCTCTCTCTCTCTCTCTCCCTCCCTGCCACTTGGTCGTTCTAGTCATCCCCCACTCTATCACTACGGCACCTCGCAAGCTCGACACACCCCCGACGACTACGACTACGACTACGACGAAAACGTAGGACGAAAAGAACCCAAAATTTTTCAATACTTATCTTATAACTCAAAACAAAAAAAACAAAAAAGTCTACTATTTTTTTACTACCCTGTAAAATTTTTATCTATCTAAGATTATCTGAAATATTTCTTACTCTTATAAAATAACGAAGAAGAACATTCCAAATGTATTCTCGCAAGTTGCGATCGAAGTATTCCACCGTTGGACCACCCCGAAAAAGGGGAAGCTTTACTCGGATAAATTTCTAAACGACCCAAAGAGGAGATAAAAGAAAGAGAGAAAGAGAGAGAAATACAAATAAAAAAAGAGAGGATAGCATTACTTTTATACGATACAACACCAAGCTTTCGACTTTTATCGCATGATTTACGACCAGTCAACTAGGGGATAAAAATGCAAAGAGTGCTGTTACTTTTCATGCGTTAGTTATTACCAAAACGAACTATACAAATAAAACTAAACAAACAAACAAAGAAACAAACAAAAAAAGGAAAAAATCATATCATTAATCGAACAGTAGTCATTAAAAATTTGATTATCTATCGGTAGAGTTTATAAACATCCCTTGTGTTCAAAAATATAACTTCAATCGTAACTTTTTTTTTGAAAGTATCTCTTAACAAGTTTATAAACGACACCTTCAACTTGTTTTGTCTAGACGATATATAATAAAAGATATAAAATTATTCTACTTTACTTCTATTGACTATGAAAGCCAAGAAAATAGAAGACACTCCTCTCTTTCTCTCTCTCTCTCTCTCTCTCATTGCCAATATAACAACGCTCGAATGAACGAAAAACGAGGGGACATTTTTTACATAGACCAGACGCGTCACATTGTATCAAAGTCTACCAACCAATGATGATATACGGCACGGAAATTGTTCGATCGTCTATAGTTACACACACATAATATACACACGTATATCACGTGTGTGTAGGCGCGTGTATACACACGAAACTTGAAAATTTATTTAGGTATTTATTAAACGCAAACCACCTGACCCCTCTACTCGACCGTCCGAAAAATTCGTTCAAGCATTTTACTTGTTTTTTTTTTTTTTTTTTTTTATTTTCTACTCTATTTTTCATTACTTAACGTTTAGATCTATTTTCTACTCACTTTATTTTCCTCTCTCTCTCTTTCTCTCTCTCTTTCTCTTTACCTATTTTGCTTCTTCTATTTTGTAAGGAAAAAATACAAGAAAAACATACCCCCTTTTTCCTCTTCTTCATGTTTCTCTTCTTTAACATGGAAATATGTCAATGAAATCGATACTATCCCTCCATTCACTTCCAATTTGTTGACAAAAGAGATGAAATGGCCCATCATCTGCACCTGCAATGAAAAACGTACTCGAAATATAGTTGTTAAATTGTTTCATCGTATTTTTTGACTTTTATAAATGAAAAATCAATTTTATATAGAAAATTTAATAATAATATTACATCATAACGATGTAATAGGTCAGATTATGGTGTATTGTTTTAGAATATTTTAAAAATGATATAAAAACATTTGGATAATATATTACTAGTTGTCTAATTCATACGAAATATTTTCATGAATTTCATACAATTTGAAGATTCTCTTTCTTGATAATTAAAAAATTCATTTCATTTTCCATTAGGTACCCTTAGGCCCTTGGACAATCAACTTTTAGAGTCCATCTACCGTACAAGTATACGCAATTACATTAACTCGAATGTCCAAGAACAGATAATAATCCTAATCGATGACCTATTACTAAAATTACTAAAATTAAACGTTCCCTTTATTTCATATTAAAAAACAAACTTCAATGTATAAATAATGTATAAAATATAATTATATATTATTTGTAATAGAATATTTAAAATAGTCTGAAGGTGAATTAATCAGTCTGAAGGTGAATTTCAAGAAAGACGGTGTTCCCTAACATATACTCGGTGTTATTAAATTACAATACACATTTTCATCGATTAATTAACAATTATTTTGATACTCTAATACATTCTGCTTAGATTACAATCAAATTTGATCCTCGTAGTTATCACTAAGCATGAGCGATAAAATAATTATATAAAATTGATAAAACAACTTAAATCTAAGCGTTATAATCTTAAATTTAATTAATTAAATGAATTATTTCCTTTATGCAAATGTGCAACTATCGAAAGGTCGTGTAAACAACATTGAATAAAAGAATTTGCATAGAAAACAACGTGTCAGTCTGAAAGTGAATTTCGAGGAAGACGGTGTTCCCTAACATATACTCGGTGTTATTAAATTATAATACACATTTTCATCGATTAATTAACAATTATTTTGATACTCTAATACATTCTGCTTACATTACAATCAAATTTGATCCTCGTAGTCATCACTAAGCATGAGCGATAAAATAATTGCATCAGAATGAAACAAAATTCTTAAATCTGAAGATTATTATCTTAAATTCTATTAATTATGTAGATTATCTTCATTATGCACATGCACATCTAAAGATGTAAGTCTGAAGATGAATTTCCAAGAGAATGATACATAGATCACTTTTAGACAACAATAGACACTTATATCAATTAATTAACAATTATTTTAATATTCGAATTCATTCTACTTTAAAACAGAAATAAAAAAAAACAAGATTATATAAACTACAGTTTATCATATTTCTTGTAAATTATTTCTAAAAGTATGACACACACACATTAAAAGATATTGTATCATTAAAAATCAATGTTAATAATAAAAAGAAAATATAATAATCTGATAATTGACTTAATTAAACATTTAAAAAAAGTAAAAGAAAACAAAGATGGTATATCCTCGTTTATTTTTTTGCTGATTATCATTGAAAAAAATAAATTCTTATATTCTTGATTTATTTCAACACGTAAACATCATGTAATAACAATTCGAATTAAAAAAAGTTCATAAATATACAGCATATTATTTTTAGCAGAATCGATGACTAAACTAATATTAAGTATGACAAATACAAATATTATTTCTTTTTTATTCTTCGATAAGATTTGAAAAAATGTTATTGCATGATATCACTTTATCTTACAAGATATTAAGCAATTAAAGATTTCATTTGAATAGTAGATGTATATTATAAAATTCTAATAAAAGTGTATATATATATTTCTTATTTATAAATGAATGTAATCAAATAATTTAAAAATGATGATTGTGCTGCTCCCATTAAAGATTTTTAATTCTTCTTTAGAAAGCAGCTTACCTATATAAGATTATATTTTTACAACTCGTTCATCTACTTTCATTTTAAAGATATGTATGACGCATATTCTCGTATAACAAAGTATCACACGTAGAAATATATATATATATATATACGCACGCATATGTATATTATCGGGAAATCCCAAAGTGCAGAAGTGGCAGTGCCGTGCCTATACAATAATAATGTCTAAACCAAGCTCACCTTAGTTCTCACAGTCAGTTACGTTTAGAACGTGAATGGGTTAACTACTTGGTGTTTACAATATTTCCTCTTCATTTCTGTGTCAAAGTGTAACATCCTTTTTAAGAAATAAGTAAGTTCAAACATAGAATTTATTCTGTTCTCTTATTTTGTCTACTTGTTATACTTGTGACTTGATGATGACACCTAACCTCTAAAAAGAAAATAACATATTTTAACATTGATACTTTCTAAATAAATGTCATTAATCTATGTACACGTATACAATGAAATTTGATGATTAATTTTATGATTAATCGAATATTGTTTTTGTTTTTTATTTATTTTAATAAAATTGTTTATATCTTTAATATTTTATAGAAGAGTTGATTTAATAAAATTGTTGTGTTTAATCTTTTCTAATTAGATTTAAATATACCACAATTGTTTTATGCCAATTAGGTTAATGTGTATAAAGAGATAAGATAAAAAGTGATAAATTGTATTTCAGATATGACATGTCATCTAAATATATTTGAATATTATATTATATTTTTTTTTTTTTTTTCAAAATTCAAACACACATACTCTATTTTTGATTATACTTATTATTGTTATAAATAAAAGTGATATTTATTATTTGTATCACATGCACAATTTTTAAAAATAATTCAAAATTCAAATTATAAGCAAACATGTCATATTATTTGATTGAATTCTAGATAAGACATTTATAACTTTGTAATCTTTGAATTTGATATCTTTCTTACAATTAAGATTCAATTTTAGATATTAACACGTATTAACTTTATTAAGTGCTTAAATTTTGTACCTTTTATTTGTAATTATTTAAAATTAAATGTATTGTTGTTATATTGTTCCATTATTGATTAAATAAAATATTTATTAAGATGGTAATATTGAAATGATCTTATATTGTTACCACATAACATTAATATTTTTGATAACTCTGGAAAAATATATAAGTTACATTTTAATTAATATATTAACCAAATATAATATTTAAAAAAAGATAAATATATATATAAGTAGATGAATTACAAAATTGTAAACATTAAAAAATGGTTTCTATGAGTTAAACTTAAAACTTGTCAACCTACTCAGATATATATATATATTTGAAATAAATCATCTGTAAATTGATTGTCATCTATTTTTTGCAGCCTAACACGATAAAGAATAACCATGTCTAATAATCTGAATTGGAGATGGATCTTATTTTATCTGCTTGTAGCATATGTGCATTCATCTAGTCAGGTAAAAAAATAAAACTTCATTACAACTGAATGAGAGAAAAGAAAAAAGAAATGATTATTTATAATCATTATTTGATTGAAATGAAATGTTCTATTTAAAATATCAGATATCAACGCCAACTTCGAAGAGCTATGTAGCTGCAGTGGTAGAATTTGCACCAAGTAACGTAGCTAATAACAGCAAACAAACTATACAATCCAATGTAGCTAGGTATGAAAAACTCATACAGGATGCTAGTGCACAGGTAAATACATTTTTCTTTTTTTTTTTTTTTCAAATTATCAATTAACTTAATCTGACTATAAGGAAAATGTTAGAAGACTAAAACGAGGAAACTTCTTTAATAAAAAAAAAAATAACTTCCTCTTTTACTTGGAAAATTTGATCACAAAAAATATCCTTCTTCAATAAAATATATGAATTTCGATAAAATTAAATTCTGAAACAAATATTATAAATAAATGTAACTAATGTTAATACATATACAATGATTTGTGTTATATTATCATTTCTTTTTTTTCAGACTGCAGATATCATTGTTTTTCCTGAAGATGGTATAACTACTTATCATCTTCCACAAAAGAGTGAAATGGATTCAGTATCAACGGTGATACCTTCAGCTAGATTTACACCTTGTACTCAACATTTGGATGGCATGACTGAGGTACATTCATCATTTGATTTTTTATCTTTGGTATTCATCAAAAAAAAAAAACACAACTTATTTTCTACAAATATACAAAAAAAATCATGAATTTTAATTAAGTAAATGATTACAGGAATTGAAAAGATTATCATGCGCAGCTATGAAAAATCAAATTTACGTTGTCATTAATATAGCTGAAAGAGTACCCTGTTATGATAATGAATGTCCAAAAGGTGAATCATTATATTATAACAGCAACGTTGTTTTCGATCGCAATGGTACAATAATTGCAAAGTAAGTATTTCTAATAATACATTTAATTCATACAATGAATTAATACAATTTTTATACTTGTAGATATCGCAAACAAAATCTTTTTGTGGAACCTCAATTTAGTACACCTAAGCATCCAGAAATTGTGACTTTTGATACTGATTTTGGTGTTACTTTTGGAACATTCATTTGTTTCGATATTTTATTCGCAGTACCTGCTTTAAATTTAACAAGAGATCTTGGAGTTACCGATATTGTTTATACAACTGCATGGTTTTCTGAAACTCCATTCTTAACTGGTACATCAAATTCAAATCTTAATTCTAATTAGAAATATCTTCTCTCATTTTCTTGTTCTTGACAATAACATCAAATGATTTGTTTCAGCTATTCAAACGCAATTTGGTTGGGCATTCGCAGAAAATGTAAATTTCTTGGCAGCTGGTTACAATAATCCTTTAGAGGGTAATACAGGCAGTGGCATTTACTATGGTATGTATAATAAATTATGAATTAATTCAGTGTTTCAATTATTCATCGAAATAAACACATCATGTATAATGAATATTGTAACACTAAATTTTAGGAAGTAATCATACAAGTAAGGTGAGGATATCACATGATCAAACTACCGAATTAATAATTGATAGAGTTCCTAAAAAAGTTCCTAAGAATCTAAAAACAACGAAGAATCAAGAAACTAAACATTCAGAAACACACGTTCACGTTCACGATGAATTAAGGAGAAAACGTCAAACAACGAATGTGAACAATTTGAAATTGTTACGTGATAATGTTACTTTATACAAGACAGAAATATTGAACGGCAATATTTCCTTAAAAACCTTATGTCACGATGGTCATTGTTGCAATTTTACAGTTAATGTAAACAAAATTGATACTAAAGTAAAATATCGATTGGTCGTATTTAATGGAATTCGTAATTATGCTAACGTACGTTTGGTTGGTACACGTGTTTGTTCAATAATACAATGTTCTAATGATACTCTCGAATCTTGTGGATCTACTCTAGACTCTCAAACAATTTTCCAAGAAATCAACATATCAGGAAAATTCGACCAATCGATAAATTCATTGATCATGCCTAATACTTTGAGAACTGATTTATTACCGATTATGGATTTTTCGTATGAAGCACACTCACACGATGATCACAAACATGTATCAATCACAAATTCGAACAAAGCGATAACAAATCTTGTAACATTTGGCGTTTATTGTAGAGACTATGACAGAGATATAAAAAGTGCTGCTGTTTCTAACAATATCGCATATTCGTTTTCAATCTTAATGGCATTCTTATTATTACGTTTCTGGTAACAACTGTTTTCCATTAACTGTCTTCCTAAAGTTTTCATATAAATGTGCATATATATATATACATAAATAATTTTTTCTATTTTATCTTTAATTAAATATTGTACATGTTTATATTTTAACCAGTTAACTGTATATTACAAAATATTTCATCAAACACGAACAATTACTTGCAATGGGCTTGACATTTTTCATCATGAAATTATGATAGTACTTAAAAAGACTTCCCTCATTGTGAAACGAATTGAACAAAAGATTATTCAAAAGTTAACAGGTTAAATAATTGATATTATTGTTATATATATATATATATATATATATATATATATATATATATATATAATATAATATATTTAAAAAGATCATATCTTTGAAATATAAATAGTATTTGTGTCTGTGATGACTTGATGTATTATAAAAAAGAGTATATAAAAGAGTATTCGATGTCTTATAAAAATATTTATCTTATTATTATTCAACCCATTAGATAATATCTGTCATATTTCATATAATAATAAGCAATGATTTTAAAATAATTGAAAAATAGTCAAAACATTTGAAATTATATATAACTTAACCTGATAATAAATATTAATCTAATGTGAGAAAGAACAATGATGATACTCGTAAATACAATTATAAATTTAACTTCAAAGATTGTAAAAAAGAAAAAATGTTTTACATCTTTACATATTTACAAATCAGTGCCATTTGTTAACTGCAATACAAGTAAGTCATTCTTTTAATTAATAAAAATATTATATCGAATAATTTGTATTATTTTTTTTTTTAGATAGATATTGTTATACTAATATGCAATTACCTGAATGTAAAGAACGCGAAGCAGAATTAAAGGAAAATAAAAAGATAGTTCATTCAAATGAAGATCAAAAATGTTCAAACTACATCGCATCCTTTGGTATGTTTGATTATTCATAATATTTCATGGTAAATAATACATTAAAAAATTCATATTTAATATACAGTGACTGGTGTTGCATCAATGTATATTTTTAAGTCGCATCTTTTGCATTATATAATGTTTTTGGCACCATCTCGAGCTGAAACTGTAATAGCTCAAACAGAAGCAACTTTGACTAATATACCGGAAGGAAAAGTTTCTATTGTAAAATGGCGAGGAAAGCCAGTTTTTATTTATCATAGGTAAATGATTAAATGTTAAGTTTAAATTATAGACAAATAAAACATATGAAATGTAATTACTTCTTATTTACTATCAGAACGCAGAATATTATCGAACAAGAAAGAAATGTTAATTTGTCAATTTTGAGAGATCCTCAAACAGATGAAGAAAGAGTTAAAAAACCTGAATGGTTAATTGTAGTTGGAATTTGTACTCATTTAGGTTGCATACCTATTGCCAATGCTGGTATCATTCCTGGAGGCTTCTTTTGTCCTTGTCATGGTTCTCATTTTGATGGATCTGGTCGGATACGGAAAGGACCAGCACCTACTAATCTTGATGTCCCAGAATATAAGTTTATTAATGATGATAATATAATTATCGGTTAAGTAATTACATTGGATTCTTATTCATGTATAATTATCTTAAATAATTTTGAAAATTATTTAAGGTACTTTGATGATAGTATAATTCTATGATTTTTAAGATAAATTATTTATACTATCAATTGATTGATGCTTATTTCAAAAATCGTGGGAATGCATTGAAATAAAATGTAAACTGACCTCGCTACAATTTAATGAATAAATAAAAAAAGTCCATTAATTTACGTATCATCATGTTAATTATCGCTTATATTAAATACCGCTGTGAAATATTATCATGAAATAAAGGTATCTTCGAATGTTTCTGTAAGTTTGACATTACCATTCTCCCTCGTCCGGGAATAGGTAGTGGAATGATGACGCGCATGCGGTATAAAATTACTGTGCAGTAGTCTACCGCGCAGCTCGAGTGGAAACGCGCATGCG